AATGCAAACGATTGCGCAACTTAATCCAAGTATTGATTTTTTATTCATAACTCTCACGATATTTCTCAAAAGTAAAAATAATTTGGGTAATGATATATTATTTTGCTTAAAAATTTCTTAAAATTAGTCATGAATTAAAAAAAGCACCTACATTTCTGTAAGTGCTTGATTTCTGTGGTCCCACCTGGGCTCGAACCAGGGACACTGGGATTATAAATCCCTGTCTCTAACCAACTGAGCTAAATATTTTTACAAAAATATCATCAATATCTACTATTTGTAAGTATGCCTAAAATTATGCCTTTTATGCTCTATTTGAACTACAATAATCCTTCATCTGTAAAACTCATATAGCTTTCCTTTGTAATAATGATACTGTCAAGAAGAGCAATATCTAAGAGTTTACAAGCTGTCTTTAGCTTGTTCATAATTGATAAGTCTGCATTACTTGGATTAAGATTACCGCTTGGATGATTATGAACAAAGATGATCCCTGTAGCTAAACATTTCAAAGCTACTGATAAAATCAATCTAATATCAACTAAAGTTCCTGTAAGCCCACCTTTAGATAAACTATAGACTCCAATTACTGTATTTGAAGAATCCATAAATAATATTTTTGTTTCTTCCTGCATTTCTATTGTTTCTTCATTCCAAAACTTTCTTATAATTTGAACAACATCACTACTTGTAGCAATCTTTACATTTAAAATTTTGTTAGGTCTGTAAGAAACCTGGATTTCTGAAACTTCTGATATAGTGTTATCCATTTTCTTTAGTTTAAATTAATTATGTTTTTGTAATAGTTTATTTTGATACATCAATACAGTAAACTTCCTGTCTTTCCGCAAAATCAGCATCATGTATTCTGGTAACCCGATGTCTTGCATCTTCTCTATTCTTTGTTTTAAAAAACCTACAATGTCACCTGGATATAGAAATTCTACTCTCATTAGTACATCCGCATTAAAATACATAAGAATATGTTTTGCTTTAAGTTCTAAAACTTCATGTATCTCACCAAAGTATTCATAGGGTTCTAATGATAATCCATTCTCAATAAATTCATAAGGCGGAATAGAAATTAAATCAAATTCGTATTCTGTATATTCACTGTCAAGTTTAAAAATTAAGTAATCATAAATATTGTTTTTCATTAATGTAAGGGTATAAAAAAACCACCTCTTAGGTGGCTGTTAATCAATTTTAGGAATTGGAATCATAGGTATAGCTACCTTCTGCATTTCCTCTTCTATTTCTTTTAGTTTTTCTGGATATATTTTTCTCTCATAAAGTAGCATTTTAAATACATCATCAAATTCAATAAGGTTCTCATAATACTTTCTGTCAATACAAACTCCAAATTCTCCTATTGGCGAGTTTCCAAAGTGAGGATGAACTACCTCATCATTATCAACATTATAATCAAGATGGTCATAATAGAAAATAGCCAGTTTGTTGTAGCCAATATCAAAGTATTTTATCAACCAATCTTTTAGAAGCGCATCATTATTATTACTACAAGTATTATATTCTTCAAGAGCAACTTTACAAACTGTATCTAATTCCTGAACTTTAATACCATATT